ATTATTCCAGATAAAGCATTTATGAGGGGAAAAATTTTGTTTATATATCAAGGACGAAGCCAAAAGTATTTGTTTGTGGAAATTGGATAAAGCCAAGGGAATTTTTTCGATTTTGTAGTCACATAAAAGTACAAAGTTAAGACCACCAAGTTGAGAAAATATATAATAAGGTATAAAGTTCCAAATCGATGAGGGATTACCCAAAAATTGTTTGATCCAATTGATTTTAAAGGCTAGTGTGAAGTGTGTCCACCTGCGAGTGCGTATTGACGGTAGAGGGGCTCAGCAGCACCCGCTGCTCGGTTAAGACTGAAACTGCGGTGATTTACGTCAGTCTGTGAACACAAGCAACGACAATAAAACCCACCAGAAATAAAAGATTAATCTGTTGCTTGTCGTTTTCAACAAAGGGGCTGTGTTCCCCTTGGGGCTAAGCCCCCCTTGTTCTTGAAACCTACTGACGCCCCTGGTGTCGCTAAAATGATTAGAAGAAGTCTCCAGTTCAACTCAGAACAGAATGAGAATTGAAAAATGCTCCCACGGATGCCGACACCAAAAGATCGGTGATTGGCTCATTTTGTTGTCAATCAAAAAGAGATTCCGCCTGAGAGAGATCATTCAATCATCATGCAGAAAAGCTGAGCGTCCGGGCCAGCCCATAAAAGCCCACTGTCCTTATACTCCCAGAGACGCTGAGTGTCCGATGGGCGGGACAAAACCAGCATTTTTCCAATGACTTGTCTCCTTTCAATGCTTTGGGACAACGGGCTCTGAACTCTCGAGATGCCCAGCGTCCGCGCTGTCGACGCTCAGCATCCACACAGTTTAAAGCACAGTGAAGCTGCGGCAATGAATGAAAAGGGAGTTGCGTCATAACCAGTAATAAGAAGCTGATTCGGAACAAAAGTTGAGTGCGTTGTAGCGCATATTTCGTCAATGACATGTCTCTGGTATGCATACATTAAGTCTGGCTGAGCGCATATCTCGGAGGCAGAAAAAACACTGAACAGAACAAAATTGTGTGAATAATGGCATCCTCATGCTGTGCCGTGGGTTGTCAGAATGGAAAGAGCACACACAGAAATCAGTGGCGGATCCTGGTCTGTCAAAGAGCACATTTCTGGCCCAAATACTTCACGCCACAACCGGCCCTCATCTGGTTTGCCAGAGTCAAGCCAGTGCCTCCTTTGCCACGCCTGGGCCGTGTTCGGCCCACATGCGTTATGCCATTGCTGACACCAGGCCAGCTGTGCCGGCTTCATGCCGAAGCCGGGCCAGATGCCTTTGCTGACTGGGTTGTTTACAACAAAGAGTGTCGCTAACATGATTAGGAGAAGTCTCCAGCTCAACTCAGAACAGAATGCGAATTGAAAATTGCTCACACTGATGCCAACACGAAAAGGTTAGTGATTGGCTCATTTCGATGTCAATCAAACTGGCATACAGGCTCAGACAGATCATCCAATCTGATGCAGAAAAGCCTGGCGTCTGGTACCCTCCCACTGCCATCCAGTCCCAGAGACGCCGAGCGTCCGTGGGCGGGACAAAAAATAGCTTGTATCCAATGACTTGTCTCCGTTCAAGCTACCCTGAACTCTCGAGCAGCTCAGCGTCCGGGCAGTAGACGCTCTGCGGACGCTCATCGTCCACCGTTTAAAGCACAGTGAAGCTGCGGGAATGAATGAGAAGGGAGTCGCGCCGTAACCAGTAAGAAGAAACTGATTCGGAATAAAAGTTGAGCACTTTGTAGCGCATATTTAGTCAATGACATGTACACACAATGAAATTTACATTCAAATATTTGATCACTTATTCTTTGACATTTTAGGGGAAGCCGAGCTTCCCTTGCAGTCCGAGAACAATCGCCACTGACAGAAATCTAGTCTTTTATGGAATTCCTGCTGGTAAACACCCCTTTCAGAAGAAAATAGCCAAAGTTATGGTTACAAGTTTTACAATTGAGAATTGGACTGAGGAGGCAATGCTTGCCTTTGCAGTGCTCACTTCATATCTGGTAAGTATTTGGGAGTTAGATCTATCATGTCAAATTATATTCTATGTTGTGAAAGCCCAGAACATGGTAGTCCAGATTTCGTTCCATCTGTATTTTCAGATACAGTAGCTGTTTCACCAAGTGGACACTCAAAACTTGCAAGGTAAAACTGTCAAACC